ATCTTCAGGCTGCTGCGGGCGTTCCGAGCGGGCGCCATCGACGTGGAGACGGCTGAGCAGGTCAAGGCGTCGGTCCCCGACTACCTCATGATCGACGAGTTCCAGGACACGAACGCGGTGCAATTCGAGGTGGTCCGCCTGCTGGTGGAGAGGTACGGAACGCGGGTTTTCGCGGTCGGCGACAAGAACCAGACCATCTATGGGTTTCGGGATTCGGATCCGGCTCTCTTCGATGAGGTGGATGGCCTGGGCACCTACCCGTGCGTCACGTTCTCTCTCAAGCGCAACTATCGGAGCACGCCCGCCATCGTCGGTTTCTGCAACGACGTGTGTCCGGAGGGAGAGGCCGGCAGGATGGTGGCCGCGCGCGAGGCGGGGCCTGCCATGGTGCTGCCCAAGCTGGCGGTCTTCGAGGAGAGGGGTGACGAGAGTACGTACGTGGCGGCCGCGGTCATGGCGCTGCGTGAGGCGGGCGAGGACGACGTGGCGGTGATGGCTAGGACGCAGAAGGATGCGTACGCCATGGCCCACAAGCTGAGCGAGCTAAAGGTCCCGGCCAGCATCTTCATGGGCGACTCGGAGGGTTCCAGGCCGAAGAAGCGGAGGGCCTCGAAGCGCGACGGTCCGGCTCCGGTGTTCGTATGTACGATCCATGCTGCGAAGGGGCTGGAGTGGAAGCACGTGTTTCTCGTGGGTTGCTCTGACGCGCTCAACAGGTGTCTGACGGCCAAGGAGCTCGAGCAGGAGCTGAACCTATTCTACGTGGCCTGCTCGAGGGCGAAGGACGCTCTCGTGCTGACCAGCCCGACCAAGTGCATCACGCGCCTGCTGTTCAAGGTGCACGAGTCGCGATACGAGATCGATCGCGGGTCGGAGAGGACGATCGCACCCATGTTCGGGTACTTCGGCGACAGCGAGACCCAGATGACGACGCACCGCTCCGTCACGCACTTCGTTCGCTACGCCACCGGAGAGTTCTTCGACCGGGCCAAGATGGACGGGCTCCTTCCGAGGGGCTTCCCGGGGGCGACCATCGAGAGGCTGCACGCGGTGCACGTCTTCCCCTACGCGAGCGACATGAACGTGCTCTACGCGTCTGCGGTGGAGAGGGTGATCTACAGGCAGATCCTGTCGGCGTGCGTGGGGCGAGACGTGCCGGTCCGCATGATCGACCATTTTGCGAATCGGTGCTTCCTGTGGGTCAAGGGGTTTCAGAGCCGGTGGAACGGGCCGGAGATCACCGAGGAGGACGTAGAGACGGCCGTGGCCGCGAAGGCCGCCGAGTTCGGGCTGGCGGACGCGTCCGCCGTGGAGGTGCACTACGAAGCCAAGCGGCTGCCGGCGTACCTTCGCGGCGGGGGCGCGACGAGGGACAGGGAGTCTGGAAAGAAGGCGAGGCGGTTCGACGCCGCGGTGGAGCGCATACGGGGGTCCTACGTTCGCTACATCAACGACGTGCACCACGACACGGACAGCCGGGAGGCACTGCGCGCCATCGCAGACGTGGCGGTCTGCGCCCACCTGGCGTACCCGCCCGCCAAGACGCACTTCGTCTTCGAGGATTTGCACCTCGGGGACCTGCGGAGGGACAAGAACCTGGGACTGTTCGGCTGCACGCGCAAGGTGGCCGCGGCGTTGGTCCGGGAGCACGGCAGGTGTCCTCCGGTGGGCACGGTGCTCCCGAGGGTGTTCACCCCGGAGGCGATGATGCGGCTATATGGGGTGGGTGTGGACGTCGACCTGTCGACGAGGTCGTTGCGAGGTGTGGCCGACATCATCATGGGAGATCTCCTCATCGACATCAAGACGTCCGCGGAGCCCGGCATCCAGGCGACGTGGGTCCTGCAGCTGCTGTGCTACGCTGCCCTGGCGAGGCTGCGGGGGATGGTGGTGAACCACATCGCCATATACAACGCGCTGTCGGGCACCTTTTGGAAGGCCCCCGTGGGCGACTGGCGTGCCGACGAGGAGATGCTCGTGAGGATCAATGAGGAACTATCGAGAGGCCGCCCCGAGGTCGCCTGAGACGTACTCTTTGCGGACCAGGGGCGTGTAATGCTCCGACTGGGCATCGAAGTGGATGTGCACGGTAGCGTCGGGCTGCGGGTATGGGTAGGACTGGTCCGGGACGCCGTCTTGGACGACGACGATGGTCGACCGCAGGATCTGGGACAGCGCGACCAGCTCGGTGTTGCCGGCGAAGGTGGTGGGGAGCCTCATGATGTCTCTGTACTGGACCGGATTTCGGATGGTTGGCCCCGGCGAGTAGCCCTCCGAGCTGCCGTACTCGAGCATGATGAGGTCTCTGCCCTTTTCGAAGCCCTCTCCGAGCCGCTCGTCGAAGTGACGCAGGACGTAGTGGACGGCACGTTCCCTGAGTTTGAGCGACGTTTCGTGGAGTCTGTGGGCGTCGGCGTAGACGGGGAGGCGGTGCTTCCTCTCGGCGAAGAACGAGATCAGGACCGCGTGAAAGAGACACGATCCGTCGCCGGGAACCTGTAGGCTCGTGTAACCCGTGGCGCTCCCATGCGTCGACACCGTTCTGATTATATTAGTGATCGACAAAGAAGGGCATGTTAAAGAACGCGCTGCACGTCTGTGCGCCGATAGCCGGTACCGTGCTCGCCTTCCTGACCTG